GGGAGTCGGGATCGGAGGGAGATCGGGGGGAAAATGTCGGGAACGTGAGGGGGGGACGATCGCGCCGGGGGGGGGAGACAGGTTGGGTGCTTGGGGGGTGGGAATCGGAGGGCAGGGAGTGTGGGGGGGAACGAGTACGATGGGAGTGCGCGCGCATTCCCATACGACGATAGATAGATAAACGAGGATTGCCGAAAATTCTACCCCTTCCAAACGACAATCGATAGATAAACGAGGATGGATTACTGCCCGTCTTTCTTTAACACTTCTCCAACATACCCGTACGCACTTCCGCGGATTAGAATCTCAGTTTTGAGAAAAACCACCTGTTATTTCCTGTCTTGAACCTCTCCTCAAGGATCTTCTTCACGTCCTTTCTGGTCTCCACCTTCTTCGTCTGTGTTTCAAGCTTCTCTAGAACAACGGTGGTCTTCAGATCCGCATCGAGAGCGTACGTCGTCGGCATGATATGGTTGTAGTTGATGACCCTGACGAAAGGCTTGAGCCTGACCCTCTTGGCAAGCTTCTTCTGAGAGAACTTCTTCGTAACCTTTCGAGGATACTTGGCTATGCCCGCCACCAGGGCATGGCCATAAGGTCTCCCGCTCGTGCCATCATCGAAGTTTTTCACGATCACAGCCTTGTGCCCTGCATACCGCCCATTCAACAAAACGACCACCTTGTTCTGCTTCAAAAACTTAACCATTTTCGTTGATGCGGGGAAGGCGCAGCAACTACTATTTCACGTTAAGCTATGGCGGCCGCAACTCGAAGAGAGGAGCGAAAGTGGCGAACAGGGGTCTAATATCCTCTGCTATGGTGAAGACCCGCAAGAGGGCCGAACAGGAAGGTCGATATTCGGAGAGCCTCTTTCCGTACGGTATCTCCCGCCTTGGAAACCACACTGGTGGGCAGTCGGCCCCTTTTTTTTTTTTTTTTTTTTTTTTGGGAATTCGGTTCCGGACGTACAGGACCGGACAACGGACCCCTACATAATGTTTGGGGGTGTCAGGAAACCGGTCTGGACGTCCGGTCGGTTACCATTTTTTTTTTTCCTTTTTTTTTTTAATATAAGGCCTATGTTTCCCAGTCCTCCACTGTAACTCTGCCTTGTTGGCAGCGCAACGCAAAAATCACCCCTCAACGATGACTTCCTTGTCTCGCCTCCCCGTTTGATAAGCTTATCCACCGCCTCAGTCCGGAAGATGTCGATCCCCCCCGGTCGATTTACGCCTCCTACTCCACCTCCTCCTCCTCCTTCTCCTCCTCCCTCTCCGCGGCTGCAAGGTATGGCATGCCAGCGCCACCTTCGACTGATTGAGGCCTTCACGTTAATCGAGCGATCAGCAGCGTGACGTGGCAGGTAAGCAGATGAGTGATGAGCGTATGATACGCACGTGGCCGCTTGTGATCGTTCCCCGAACACACGCTGATGATAGCTTGATTCATGTTGCCCGTTGATAAGGGCGGTTTCTTCGGTCCGATATTGTCAGCACACGGTTTCTTCTCTCTCACACGGTTTCCTCTCTCTCTCTCTCTCTCTCTCTCTCTCTCTCTCTCTCTCTCACAC